GACTGATAAAAACTCCCTTAAAGTGCAAATCAGTCGGACCACCCCATAAAAACTCCCTTAAGTTGCAATTCAGTCCGACCACCCCACAATATTTTCAAATTGACCAATCAAAGGAACGAAATGGACTGATAAAGACTCCCTTTAAAGTGCAAATCAGTCCGGCCACCCCACAGATCAGTTGAGATAAGTCCAAATGACCTCTCGACCAATCAAATGAGCATAACGACCACCCAATTCTGCGAGATTCTTGCGTTTTACCGCTGCTCTAGATAAAGCATATATTTATTCAAAACTGAGCTCGTGAAGACGTATACTGGACTATGATATGAATTTCATATTATATTCGGGAATTAATTATTCAAATTTCGAAATAATAAATTAATTATTTCTTTGCAAAAAATACGTCAGTCACGCGACTGATTGCCATGCGTGTCAATGGATAATCTGTCTCTTACAATTCGGGATATTATTTCATAAAGTTAAGTACTAGCCATTCATTCAGATCAATTTAATCTTTGAGGATGGCTAAGATCAAGTCAAGCGGATCTTCTCTTTACAGATCAGAAAGGAAAATTTTGTAAAACTGACCCACAGCTTTATTTGTACAATTTGAACTTAAACTGTACGGTGCGTCATTAAAAGTCACGACAATGTCACCAACTTTCACCGATGATTTTCCTTTGTTCCCGATGTGAGATTGTGGTCCTTCTATTGTCGCGATTATTGTAAACTTTTCATCTCGCTTTATCGGAACTGGTTTGGGCAACATGACATCATATCCCCATCCACGATCATTGTCTCGTTCTGAAGTGTAAGTCCCTTTTACATTTTCATTTTTCACCGTAAACTTGACTTCGTATCGACTACCACCGGAGTCACCAAACAAGCGAACACCGTGAAAGAGAACAGCTTTGTTGACAATCAGAATAAGAGCGTCGGAACCTCCTCTATAGTTCCAGCCACTTGATGCATTCGCAACGTCAAATCTGCTAAAACCGACTATATAAGGCTGCCTTTTCTTTTGCTCCTTCCATTCCAAGCCAGCCACGTCTAATCCGCTAAATTTCTGGAAAATAGATATAACTTCTGCCTCTGTAAGTATTCTAGTAGAAGAGACATATTTCGCGAAATCTTCCTGTGACATTTCAAGGAAACGAATTTCATATACACTATCCCCTAGAACGCGTCTTCTTGCCATTTTGTCTTCTTCAATATTCAGACCTTGTCTTGAACATTCGCCGTCTACCCATTTTAACACTGCTTTGAACACTTCCACTTCAGCTAATTCCAATGGCCTTCTCTTCAACAAAACCTTCAGGGTATGTGATCCGACATTACAGAATGCTTCTGAGTTTATACATTCCTGAGTTTTCTTCGATATAATATCCCAGCACTTTGCTTCCAACTTTTGTTCATCAAATTGTATAGCTTGCTCCAACACCACGAAAACATTATCAGGTTTAATGCTTGCCTCTAGAACCTTGCAACATTTCTTTGTCAAAGACATCATAAGATACTTCTTAGCCAAATACATAACTCCAATCGCGTTCTCTGCGGTGATTTTACCATCGTCAGTGTAGAGGTAGCGCAGAAATTCTTTGAAGCTTTCTTCGTCGGCGTCTGGAAGGCAAATGGGAGATTCTTTCTGAGCTAGATCGCCATAAAACATGGCAAAAAACACAGCACTGCTCGTGGCAAGCACATATTTATGCGTATGAAATATGCGACTTGATTCCCCACAAGTGAAAGATACATCGCTCATCAATTCGTTATCAAACATATACGCGTTTCTTTGTAAGACTGTTTTCTTACTGGACTGCCAATCATCGTGATATTTTGAAGCCATGTTTTGGAATGGTATAGAGCTGATTGAAGGTTTAAAATACACTCCAGTAAAATAGACTTTTATACAACAAGGCGATGTGCCTTTGCATGTAAAATGCGGAAATGATATATAAACATCAAATTGTTAAAATGAAACTAAAGAGGTCAATAAACCTCGATGAGGGTCAACTATTTTGCATAAAGCTATTTTTATTGGTTTCATTTGGCCATTGCGTATGCATTCATGCAGACAGTGAGATTTTGTTTTCGTCAATTAGTTAATTGGTTTCACTGTCCACGTATAGTATAGATTGTGATTAATTACTACACCTGCATGGCTGCATATTGAGAGAAAATGTTGTTATTCTTTTCATTTCATGTAGTAATTTGAAGGAAAAACTGTTCTCTAATTTTCCCGGAATCACGATGAGTACACATAGTGATGTGATACATCGTATTGCGCCCTAGCCTATGAAAGTTCTGTGACACAGGCTGATTGCGCCCAGTTATCAAAATTTTAAGTTTGATAAGTAAAGTATGAACAACGAGAGCGAGTGTTTCACCGTGTTTCATACATTGTTTTCGAGTGTTTGGATATCCCAGTGAGACACGAGCTCGAGTTGTTTATATGGCTTCTCAAATGAATCGAGACGTAACAGAATGTTTTCATTTGCTGATTTGAATAGAATTCTTAACCAAGCATAAAGTAATTAGGAATTCTATTCAAGTAATTTTGCATGCGTAATTAAGATATTTGATGAAAACACTAGTGACTTTCATCAAGTATCCAAATGGCATCTTGTGATCAAATAGGTGATTATCATTGCCTGGCTGAATTGCTCATGAATTATTAATGATTTGAGAAATATTTCATAAAGTTACCTTGTGTATAAACTTACATACACGTCGTAGTAAGGCGACAATGTAATTTCATTGTTTATTTTACTTTTTTGTTCCAGAACTGTAAACGTTGTTTGAAGTTTATTGTTGTGTGAAAACAATACACCCTCTTCATTTGTATGATGTATGTCAGTGTATATATCCTGTATGATGTATATCATAATACAGACACATTGATAACCTGGAGGCATCTAACCCGTATAACCCCTCACCCCAATGTATAAGGGAATTGTAAATCTGAAAACACCAGATCCAGGGTGGTGGAGTTTACACCGCCTCAAATAAATCAAACACTGTGCTGTGCATGTTTTCCACAAAAAACCAATCAACGTAGTGCGCTTGCCATAAAATCTACTTATTAATACTGTCAATTATATTTATAGTCATTGATCCATTGATCCAATCATTATGATTTGGGCATATAATTCGTGTTAAGATCAGAATTCAGAAATCTACTACTAGAATTCGCACTATCATTAAACAATGTGCAGCTATGTGCAGCTTGATGAAATCAATTGCAGAACATAGAGTGGTACTCAAAATCTCTTATCTTATTCCGTTGCCATGATTCTCTTCGAAAATTTGGTATTGCCAGTGGCAGTGTCATACAAAAATTTCAAATGTATTTTTGAGATCAAATTGTCGTGTGTGCAAAAATTGTTCAGGGGTTTGATGTCAATTGGGGCTTTGCCCTGTTTCTTATTTAATTTTTTTATTTATTTTTATTTAATAAATTTGCCAAAATATCACAACTATTTACAATAATAATTGCTAATATTATATTACAGAGGGCTAGAGGCCATTGGAAACCTGTATAGGCTTTTATTCATGACCCCTAGTATGACCCCTTTCTCCTGTTGTCACTGTAAAGCTGATAACTCATATGATAACGAATTTAATAAATTCAAATTCAAAATTTCAAATAAGATATATAAATGAAGAACTTTAATTATTTAACCACACAAAAACTCCGTCGACCGAAGCTGATTTCCACAGTTGGCGTGTAAAAGCAATTACTAAAGTAAAATATTTAAAATTATGTAGAAAATATTAAGTGTCAGTAGTGTAAAAAAGTACAATATTTAAAGTTAGCTTTATAGTGTCAATATAGGAATATAATTTACGAATAATCTATTTACAGGGTTAATGGACAACTTGCATGTTAGACTAAATTTTAATCTAAGCATAGAAAAGGGAATCAAACACCACAGCTAAAAAGAACATACCGGAATTAATAAAAGTGCAAAATTTGGCTGCGAAATGTTGTAAAGCTTGGAAAATATAGCCTTGCAAAGTTT